CGGGGGTGGGGTGGGGTAGTGGACTAAGAAGAGGAGGGAAAGGGGCGGCGTGGGGAGGGCGAGACTTTGAGAGGAGAGAAAATTGGTCAACGCCCCCAACTGTTATCCGATTTTAGATTTGGGTTTCCAAAGGAAAAGGTGGGGACAAAGGGGGTCGATTGGCGCCGGACACGCGTGCGGAGCCTTTGAGAGAGGGCCCGGGCGAGGGCTAGTGGGGGGTCGGGCTGTCCTCCTTCCTCCCCCCTCCCCTCCTCCACCGTGGCCTGACCACCCCCCGCTGATCCTAGCCAGCCCAGCAGTGCCGGACTCGGCCTAGGAGAGAGCGGCGGGGAGGAGACCGCTTGGGTCACCCCTGGGTCCGCCTGGCTAATGTTGCGGTTCCCTCGTTTTCCACCCGCTTCTGAAGGGGATCTGGAGACCTGGACTGGTATGACCGCCTCGTTTAATCAACCCGGTTCTGATCGAATCCGAATCGTCCTCGTGGAACTTGCGGGCCGCCAGCCCTCTGTTCCGCGGGTCTTGGGTGATCAGATCAGAGCGTAAATGCCAGGAGGGGCGAGAAGTGGATGCGCCCGAGATCGGTCGGATGCCCACCTCGGGGACCTGCATCGCCACCAACCGCTCCTAGCACCAACTCCGACACGATAGACCCCGAAGTTGCTTCTAGAAAGGCATCTCAGCGGCGAGCGTTCTAAGACTGAGGGCCAAGTGGGGCGTTAATTTGTTTGTTTTGGTTGGATTTTTCAGTTAACACTCTTCGAAAAACGACCTCCTTCCCTAGGAGCACCAAGGCTGGCCTTTGCTAAGCAGCGTCCCACCTCCAGGAGAGGGACTCACGCCCCTCTATCTCCATCCCCCATGGCCTTAGGCAGACAGAAATTCACTTTTCTTTGCAAGATTGTCTGGGTTCTGGCACCTCGCGGCAAACGCTCGTCTCCAGAGCTAATAGCCTAGAGCAGGGAGGACAGCGCGGCCTTCCCCGCCCGGAGCTCTAGATGGCGCCCGCGAGCCGCACTTCCCAAGCTCCTCTTAGGGGAATCAAGAGCGACTGTCAAACATAAAAGCAAATCAGAGTTTTCAGTTTTTTTAATGTGTTAAGAATGTTATTCCTTAAGAAAATTTGTAGCTAAATTATTCTCACTTAAAATAAACACTTAGTATACCAATTACACAAATGGGCGGGATTTATGTGAGATTTACTTCATCTGCATTTTTGTAGTGGGAGAGAGCCTTGGTGAATACAGATAATAGATGCAAATAAGATTAGAGTTAAAATAAATAAAGTTTCCATCTGAATAAAAAGAAATTCAATTTTCCACGACTTAGAAGGATCTGACGGAATGTCCAGACACGCCATTCAGGTGCATACGCGAATCTCAACCAAATACTGTTTTCCCTGGGGTGGTGAGGGGGAGGAACCTTTTCTTTCCTTTTCTGCACATTTCCCACCCCCACCCCCCACTTTTTTTTTTTAATTTCCCTTCCTCATCAGGTAGAATCCAATTCCTTCCCGGGAGTGGGGGTGTGTGTGGCTCTGAAACGGAGCTAGGAAAGTGAAACGCCGAGGGAGGGTGTGCGTCGGGGTGTGCAGAGGCGCGGGGCCGAAAAACACTTGGTCTCGGTTGCTCGACTGTGCGGGAAGCTGGGGAAGCGCGGGGAGAAACCGTCTGAAACGAAATCCCATTTTTCTCACCCGGGCCCGAATCAGACAGACGCCCCCCGCCCCCGCCCCACTCCAAGCCCGCAGGCCTCGGTCCAGGTGTGTGCCCCCAGGCCCTCCCAAGCCCAGGACACCCGGCGCTGGCCGCCCGCCCCCACCGAGGTGGCGGTAGGGAAGACGGGTCAGGTGGAGGCCGCGCTCCGCTCCGGGCTTGGAGATCCCGACCTCCGCGGGTCGCCACCCGCTGGGGTCTAGGTCTCCCGGAGCAGGAGGGAGCTGCCATAGCCGTCCGTGGGTGGGAGGGGGCCCGGGAGCCTTCGGGGTCCGGAGCCCGAGTGCCGCCGCCGTCTCCCCGCAGCATGCAGCAGCCCCAGGCCCGCGGGCCGCCGAGGCGGGCAGCCGTGGTGATGGACGTCTGCTGACCCGCGGGGCAGGCGCGGCCGCGCGCAGAGGCCTTGATCACTGGGCTGCGGAGGGAGCTGCGCGGCCCGCCCGGACCTGGGCGGCCGGGCCCTTTGATCTGCCTTTATTATCGGCGAGAAACAAAGCTGGCGGGAACAGAGGCCCGGGCGCCCTTCTTCCCCCAACCCCGGAACCCTCACCGCACCCTCACCTCGGCGTCCGCACGGCTCCGCAGCTGCCCAGCGCGCCCGGCACCCGCCCCGCGCCCCCGGTGCCAAAGCGCCCGAGGCTTCGCGCCCCCGCGGGCGGCTTCGCCCCAAGACCCCGATCTCCGCCCAAAGGCGTCGCGGGGGGCCGGGTCCACAGTTCTTGCTGTTGGATCCGCCAGGGAAAAGGCCCAAGAAAAGGGAAAACTCGAGGAGGAAGAGCGGAGCCTCCGGGATGGCAGAAGGAGGAGAGGGAAGAAGCCACCGGATCCCACGCAGCCAACGCGCCTCTGGGGACCTTTTATCTCTTCTACTTCGCCACTTGGCTATTCAGAACAGAGTTTGCGAGAAAACGTTTTGTAGATTGTTAGTAACAATTGTTCATAATACTTTTTTCTTTCTTATAAAACAAAAGCTTCATTCAAGTTCCCCAAATGGTCAGTAATCCACCCCACCCAAAAAATTTTTTCTCTCCTACTGGAGCAGGCTTTGCTTCTATTTCCTATTGTGTGGGGCGCCTTTAAAAAATATTTTTATTCTGTAAATACTATATTTTCTAAAGCAATGTTTTTTTTACTCGAATTGCGAAATTATCTCATTTACCAATTTTCTTTTCGTCTCTCCCTTCCTTTCCCCTTCTCTTTTAAAACTGGGCTGTTAAGTTGGTGGTCAGAAGACAAAGAGAGTGAAAATAATTTTCATTTCAATAATTGCCTTCTGGTCAATTTAACTGTGCCTTATTTTGAAAGAGACTGTCTAAATGAGATTCCTGTCCCAAATGTGTTCCCAGGCCTGATCCCAGCCTTTAATTATTCCTGAGTTTTTTTTCTTCAGAATAAGACGCCGCACTGAGTAATCACAAAGAAGTCAGAGAGCATCCTTGAACCTTTTCAGAAGCAGCGCCACTGATATTCAAATAACCTGCGAGGGCCATTTGACGGCGCGGGACCTAGGCATTTCCAATTCACTATTTGCATAGATCAGCCGTCTTTGAAAAGGAAAGGAGCAGTTGTCTTCCATAACATTAAAAAGCCTAGTTATCAAATCAAGTGCTTAGTTTGGGGGCTTTTAAAACGTTTACATTTTATCTCAGGTTGCCCTTTACCGTTTGACATGCAAATTTGGTGCAGTTAATTTAGACAATTAAAAAGATCTTCAAGGGAGCTTTGTCACGGAGAATATTTGGAGTTTTCCCTGAGGACCAGCTGAGATAAAGTTGGCCAGAACAAATGATGTCTAGGAGATTAATTAGATATTTGATAAGACATGAATCCCTAATAAGGGGATACAAGGCACAGGGGGCTGCTGGGTGCTCTAAGTCAAAATTAATAACATTTAACAAGATTTTCATTTAGGCATGAAATGTCTTTTCCGGGGTATTGACTCCAGCAATTTATTCCCCTGAGACACCTCCCAACGTAGAGGGTCTTGGGAGCTAAAAGACGTCTTTTAAAAAGCGTTTTCTTTTCACGGATTGTTTTTAAATCGCTTTTTAAAAACAAACAAACACACTGGAGTTTTGTCTGTCCCCTCCCGGAGGTATCATTACCTCCCTGGTAAAAGCTACCAAGGACCTTGGCTTTTTCTCCCCACCCCACCCCCCACCCAAGGCGCTCAGGAGTTTTAAAATGTCACCTTATAAGAGCTCTCTCATTAAGCAATACAACTAGACATTCTTATAACCCAATTTAATTTACGCTGTTGATATACAAATAAATATTTTAACTTCTCAAAAACATATGCATTATGGCTTTTATAACTCACATAACCTTACATTACCTAAAGCTAACATTGAGGGAATTTTTTTCCCAACAAAAAGTCAACCCACATAAAGGTTATTGAGGGGGGAACAGCACTTAAAAAAAAAAAAGAAATGTATTGTTCAGAGTCCTTTAATAATACCAAAATGAAAATATGATGTCAAGATTTTCTTCATACAGATAAACGCATTTAATTTCTTTAGATGACCTTAACTTACGTGTTTGTGAGTGAAATGATAACTCAACATTTTAAATATCTTTTACATATATACTGACTTTCACAAAGTGCATCAGAAAATTAAAAAAAAACTCCCTGAATTTCAGGAATTCACCAAAAAAAAACCTCTATTAGAATGAACATTTACAAGAAAATAAAAGAGAACACAATCTTTTGAACCCTATTTATACAGATGTTATGAAATACAGAGAAACTGCCACTAGACTTCCAGTTTAATTTCTCACCTTAAGCCTTTTTTTTTTGATGCTTCCTTTTTTAGGAAAAAAAAAGTCTCATTGTAAGTAGATATCAAGCAGGACTTGGAGCATTTTATATATAATATAATCCACACAAAGGGTCTGTTTTTATAGGTCCCGTTTCCAAATGTTCTGACAGTCCTTTGCAGGGTTGGTGACTTGATTTTTGAGAAAAGGAAGGAGAAGGGTGGTGGGTTGGGAGACGGGGTAGAAGGGCGCCTTTCTGCGTATTGCTCTTTGCTCGAGAAGTTTGTGCGAGTGGTGCGTGTGTGTGCGTGTGTGTGTGCGTGTGTGCGCGCGCGGGTGTGCGTGGTAACGGTTGTAGATGTCCGGGATGTGTGTCTGTCTGTGCGTGCAGTTTTTGAAAGTGGGGTTTGCATTGAGGATGGTTCGTTCGTTTTTGTTTCTGGACCACGCGTTCGGTTCTCGTCTGGACTCACGCAGCATAGGGGAGCTCCCGGCGTGGCCGGCGCGCAGAGGCCCAGGAACCCGGCACTGCTCGACCTCGCACCGGCCGGAGGGGGGCATCCCTGGAGCTCCCGTCCGTCGGTCCCCTGGCTCGCTAGCCCTGCGCACCGCTCGCTCGCTCGCTCTCGCTGTCTCTACTCGCTCGTTTGCTCGCTCGCGCCTCGCGCCCGTCCTCTAAGAGTCGTTGGGGCCCGATGCGGCCTCCTTGCCTCCTGCCGAGGCCGCCGCCGCCGCCGCCGCCGCTGCCGCCGCCGCCGCCGCCGCCGCGGCCGCCCGGGCCGCACTGACGCCGGAGTCGTGCAGGATGAGGTCGGGGGACTCGGAGCGGGGCGTCTCCAGGTTGCTGGCGTCCGTGTCACTGTCGCTGCCCTTTTTGCCCCCGCCGCCCCCGTTGTGCGTCTTAATGTGTTTGCTCAGGTGGTCGCTGCGCATGAAGCGCTTGTTGCACACCGGACAGGCGAAGCGCTTCTCGCCCGTGTGGGTCCGCAGGTGCCGCTGCAGCTCGTCCGAGCGAGTGAAGCGCTTGCCGCAGAAGAGCCAGTTGCACACGAAGGGCCGCTCGCCCGTGTGCCAGCGCAGGTGCGCCTTCAGGTGCGACGTCTTGCCGTACACCTTGCCGCAGCCCGGGATGTGGCAGCTGTGCAGGCCCTTGCGCCGCAGGCTCGCCCCGGCCGGGCCCAGCCGCTCGGCCTCTTGGCAGTTGGGGCAGTCGCAGGTGGCGCGGCCCGAGTAGCGGCGGGCGGAGCGCGCCGAGCTCCCCCCGGCGGCGGCGGCCGCGGCGCCCGAGATCATGGCGCTGGCGGCGGCGGCCGCGACGGCGGCGCTCGAGTCCGAGTAGGAGGGCAGCACCGGCTTGAAGCCGTCCTGGGCCAGCAGGTGCTGGCTGGTGGAGAGCAAGTGCGAGGCGGCGGCGGCCGAGGAGCCGAGGCCCGTGGAGCTGAAGGCCGAGTGCGTGAGCGAGCTGAAGTCGGGGTTGTAGGTGCCGAGCTGCGAGTGCAGCGAGGCCTGGGGGGCGCCCGAGTGCAGCGAGCTCTGGAGCCCCCCTGCGGGGTTCTGCACCTCCAGCCACGAGCCCGGGCTGCTGTGCACGTCCCACCACGACGACGCCGCGCCGTTGGTCACCTCGCCCGCCGCCAGCGTCGAGTGGAAGCCGGACTTGTACCACGACTCGTACGGGTGCGCCATGCCCACGCGCGGGTACAGCCCGTCGGCCGCCGTCGTGTGCACCTTGGAGATGAAGGCCGACTGGCCGCCCGCCTCCTGGGGGGACACCCCGGCGGCCGCCGCCGCCGCCGCCGCCGAGTTGGAGAAGAGGCCGCCGTAGTCGCTGCTGAAGGCGGACGACGTGGGGGACGTGGAGGCCAGGCAGAAGGCGCTGTTAGCGGCGCCCGAGCTGCCCGCCAGGCCGCCCGAGCCGCGGCCGCCGGTGGCCACGGCGAAGCCGGAGAGGCTGGAGCCGAGGTTGCAGCTGGACGAGGAGCGCTTCCAGGGGTGGAAGCCGCCCTTGGCGAAGGCGCTCGACTCCGGCAGCGTGGTCAGGGGGCTCGTGTTGCCGATCTTGTTGCAGGTCGCCGCCAGCATGGCCAAGGGGGTCGTTCCGAAGCGCGGCTCTTCCTAGAGATGGGGGAGGGGAAGGGAGCGAGCAGGGCAGGAGGAAGTGGGGGGAAGACACAAAGTGCACCCGTGAGCAGCCTCGTCCCCCTGTGGCTGGACCCAAGGGGCGGGGGAGAAGGACGGGTTTCGTGGCCCTGGGGCTGGCAACCTCCTCTCTGAGCGGGACCGAGACGACCACCCCGGCGAGGGGCTGGCAGCCGGAAAGTTGTTCTTCGCTGGGGCTACAAATCAAAGATGTCTTGGTTCGCTCCCTCTAAGCAGTTGCACCCACTTTCCCTCCCCAACCCAGAGCCGGACTTGGGTATCTTGTCTTCCTCGCAGTAAGCCCTCTGCATTCACAGGAGCCCCCTAAATCGCTCTTCCGGGTGAGCCACGGAGGTAAACACATCGACAACAAACACTGGGTCAGGGCGGAGACGGCCGAAGGAGCGAGCAGGGGCGGGGGAAAGTTGGGGCACTCCTTCGGAGGGTGGCTACCGCTCGAATCTGGTCTTTTCTAACAGAAATCGTTTTTAAGGTTTGCGCGCACACACACACACACACACACACACACACACACACACACAGGAAACGATTCTGAAAACAACAATCCTAGAAGAAGCGACCCAGCGATGGATTTCAAAGTCACAGATGATCCCGGGGAGCCGCAGAAGTGTAAATGTTTGTTAACGTGACTACACGGGCTGCAAAAAAAAAAAACCAACTAAGGCTGTTTTCTGGAAACACCACCATCGCGTAATTGCAACAATCCCCGAAGCAAGGGGGGAGGGGTGTGGGGTATAAATCACGAGGGGGAAGAAAAGAAACCTCTACGCTTTCATTAAAACCAAATCAAAAGGGACTTGCCCAACAAATCATTTCCTTACAAAGGCCTCTCCGACATTCTTCTACCTTGGAAAGAAGCAGTCCTGGAAATGTGGAAAGTGCCAAAAGAAGCTGGAGCTGCAGTCGGCAGCAACAGTTTCTGCGTAGCTACGGCCCCGGGAGAAGCCAGAACGAAAAATCACTCCAGTGCAAGCAAGCAAATGCGGTTGGCGCACTTCCGACTTACCCCGAGGATAGACGTGGCCATAGCAGGTCCCTGGACTGCGCGGCGGGACCGGGAGAGAGGCTGAGCCTGGCGGCTTGCTCGGGAAAATTACTCGGGTCCCGCGCGGCTTCCGCGTCCCCGCGCTCGCGCCGAGCGGACTCCGGGCTCCCGCCGGCTAAACTCAGCCTAAGTGCGAGGAGCACCCGCTTTGAAGTGCCGCTGGCTGCGCCTCTCGCCCAATGAGGACTCAGGCAGAGCAGACGGGAGCTGCCCCGCAGCCAATCAGACGCGCCGAGGGGCCCGAACCCGGGCTCCCGGCGCGTGCCAGTCAAAGCTGCTAAGCGAGGGGCGGGGGGGTCGCGGGCTAGGGACTGAAGAAATTACCGTGCAATTAAACATTTACACACACGCACCGAGCTAGGTTTAAGTACCGTTCAGACCGAGCCACGAGCCCCCCGAACCCACCCCGAGATGATGTAAGTGAGGGCTGACGGTCCTTTTCCACTCCCCACTTGTGGGGAAGAAGGCTGGAGGGGCGGGGGAGCCCCGGCGGAGGCCGCACCAAGCAAGGCCCAAGTGGAGACGGAAATGTCAACGCTCACTCTGTGCTCCAGGCTCTCGCCTACGAAGCACAACTTTTATTGGAATCTATCATTCTCGCTAGCTCTTTTTATCGACGCCGGGTCGGCTAGCCAGCTCCTCGTTCCTTCTGGATTCGCTTTTACTCAACTCTCAGAGTCACACGGAGGAGAGGGTGCAAAGGAGACGAGATAGGCCCCAGGATACACCCACGGTCTTACTGGGAGAGCCTGCAGCCCGTGCATCTCGCCATTCCCGCCACCACCACCACCTCCACCACCACCATCACCGCCGCCGCCCCCTACCCCAGCGGTCCAAGTGACTTCCTAATTGTCGCTCTGGCCTCTGACCCGGGGGGTAATACAAGTGCCACTCACACTAGAAGCTTCTGGTGGTAATTGAGGGCACCCTTTGTACCGCTTCGCCAGCGCCTAGATACCAGGTTAACCCAGTTGTCAAATATGACTAAACAGTGGGATGTGCTGATTATCTGCCGGTTTTCGCTGGGGGCTGGCATGGGGGTGGGAGGCATCAGCCCATACAACACTCGGCACGAAGCCGCTTATTTTCACATTGTAACAACTTTGGAAACAGAGACCGGCGCGAGCCGCGTCCGCCCCCACCGCCACCCCCGCAGAAGCTGCAGCTTGCTTGGCTGTTTGTTTAACTCGGGGAAGCTTTTTTGCACGTCACGTTTCAGCCGGGAGACGAGTTTTCTTGCCCCAGCTCCAACCCACTTCCATTCCAGACTGCCTGGGCCTAGAGGCTCCTCTGTAAGGCAAGGATGCCCTTTGCAGAGGAGGGCTCCCTCCCACCCTCGCCTCTCACCCCCGCACTCTACTTTCGTGGACGTGCTCGAGGACCCTCTCTCGGTGATTTTCATCCGCGCTCTTTGGGGGGAGGGGGTGGCACAAAAACACACGTGGACGCCTTCAGATTTTGCAGTCTGGAAACATCCTGAAAGTACTCTCCGGATCTTGTTGGTGCGAAGAGGGGCGGGGCGGGAAGGGGGGTGTCACAGACAGATCACTGCGTTTCTTCTTTCTGGCCTGGGCCTCTTTCTGGGCAGGCTAGGAGGCTGGGTTTTTGACCCCCAAATAAACAGATCTGGTCAGTGGTTTTAATGAACCTCTATTTGCCTGCAAATCCACGTAGTGCTTTTTAAAATAAAAAAAAATGTAAACCATGAAACCCAAAATCTTGGATATAAAAATATAGTAATAATAATAATCAAAGAGAGTGCGGATACACTCCGTTATCGGGGAGGTCCATTTGGGTCGCTTTCTTCGTTGCCCCCCTCCCTTTGACTACTTTTGCTCCGAAAGCTTTTTAAGGCTGCGAGAGCGCCTTTAGGAAATTGACAGAGGAAAAGAAGAGAAGTGAGCGAGAAGATCCTAGCGGCTCGGCGCTGTGCTCTGGGCGACGGGGGTGGGTAGGGGGCATACTAGGTGGAGTGAAGGTGTGAAATATCTAGGGGCAACGTGGGTGTGTGTGTGCTCAAGGTGCGGGGATAAGAGGAATATCCAGGCAGCTGGTTGAGTTGGCAAGCCCGACAGGGGAACCCGGGAGTCGTTCCCAACAGGTGACTTCTGCCCTGGAAGGGGAGACTGGGGCTCGCCTTCAGACTCCGCGGCGATTTACTAATAGAGGGATTGTTAAGTAGCAGTGAGGCGTGTCCTCCTCATGCAGGGCAGCCCTGGGTGGTTCCCCCTTCCACCTCCTCCCCCATCCAACACACTCATCTTCTCCTTAAAGAAAGCTGCCAAAGTAATAAATAAGACAATCGGAAAAGCCACTTAGCACCGGTGACATTTTCATGTCAACCATTGAAAACAGTTCATGCTGACACCTTGGGCTCCCGGCTCCCCGGTTGCCTTCCTCTCCTCCTCCTCCATCTCTTCGCTGTCCTCCTCTTCTCCCCTTCTCTCCCCTCTCTTCCCCTCCCTTCCCCTCCCCCTCCTGCCGTTTTCAATGTAGTTCCAGCTGTCAGATTCTCCAGAGGGCATTCGGATATTCCTCTAGATACCCGAGACCAGATCACAATAAAAGTTAGAGACATCATCCCAGCGATCTCAGCAGGACACCGGGGCCACTTCAACTCTAAGGTGGAACCCCAAGGCAACCTTTTCCAAAGAAGTCCAGTTTTTTTTTCTTTTTCGTCTGACAGATTTTTTCATCCCCTAAAAAATCTAGTTTTTAAACAAAGATCAATGTGTTATGCTAAAGTGTTGAGCTGACTGTTAAAACATTTGGGGAAATAATGACAATGTAACAAAGGCCTGGTTTGGAGTGAATCATCACCCTTTTAAAAGTTAAAGCAATTTTCAGGAGAATAGCTTTCAGCAAACGCTTTACATTATTCAAAACGGCCAAATAATGCTCTATTATAGCGCCTGAATGCTGCCAGTCAGCCCCTAAGTGCAATTTGTGCAAAGGCCCCGGTGCCTTATCTCCACTTCTTTATAAAGAGGTGAATATAAAACAATTTCTTCCAAACCCAGACAGAGAGCACGAAAATTGCTTCCCTTTCTGCAATCAGGGCAATTTAACTGGAGTGCAATTAGCACTATTAAATGTCGATTCTGCATAAACAAATCTGACTGAGCAGCGAAAGTGGGGTGAGAACCTCATATACACTGAAACTGATTTTTTAAAATTATGTATCCGGGTCCTTTACAATTGATCCGTGACGTTTTCATCTTGGAATATATTTACATCGTAAATACACTATGGTTAAATCAACATAATTTTTTGCAAAAAAGAAATTCAATAGGAATCCTAATAAAGAAGAATAGGGTAATTAAAGGGAAGAGTTCACTTCCTTTGAACAAATATTGTTTCCCCTGAGAGCTTTGATCTGAGCAACTGCTCAAGTTGCTGCGTTCAGGAGGCGAAGCTGGGGAAACAATTCCGTCATTAGCGCCCATCGGGAGGATTGGAGCTCCTGCGCCAAGGGGAGAACGCTTTCCCCCACCGCCCACCCCCCACGCGCAGCTCCGGGAAGCGGGGTGGAGACTCAAGGACCAGTTATCTTCCAACAACTACAAGTGTTAGGCAGTTGCTCAGTCTCCCGGGACCTTGAGACCAGTGGCAGAGTTTAGCTGCCGATCTGGGTGGGGGGAGGTGGGAGTTGGGGAGACTTAGGGATGGAAGTCACAGGGGAGGCATTACGGAAGGAGGATCCAAGGGTTCCTGCCTAGGCCTTGCCGACTGCTTGCTGCAAAGCCGGGACCACTGGAACCAAGCTGCCTGAGGACAGGGAGAGAGAAGAGAAGGAAACCCATAAAAAGCCTTTATCTGACCTGTCCGCCTCCCACCTGCCTTTATTTATTTATTTGCTCTATCATAGCGCTCCCTTTTTGAATCATTTGTGCAATTAATTATGCTTTTCATTTGCATGATCTTCACTAGAGCGGTGATTATCAGGTCAGCGCTGAGCGGGAGTTGGGGAGATACATTAATAACCTGAGTTTTAAAAAAAAAAAAAGCTGCCCTGCATATCCCCAAGCCAGCCTGCCAGGAATAAGAGCAAAGGTGCAGACCTCAGCATCCACTGAGTTGAAGGAATCCTTTCCACAGATGGGTTTGTCAGCTGTGGGTGAAAATAAAATGCAGTCCCTTTTGATCAGAAGGGACATCTCACATAGTTGACACGTATTTATAATGTCTTGGAACTCTAACCTTGGGCTCAAATGAATTGAGAAAATTGTTTACAAAGTGAGGAATACTCCCACAATTTCTTTTGGGCTTTCTTTGACTAACTGTTCAAAAGTGCCCCTATTCCAGGCGAGCTCTTGCAAATAAAACAGCCTTGAGGATGAGCAGACCAATGGATTTGTATTTGGAGGGTTGTCCATTTATAAATAGCAGAAGCAGTAAACTCTTCTTGCTCTTAAGGTCTACTGGAGAACCAGAAAAAACCCTCTATTCTGTACACTGCAAACATTTGCTCTACAACTAATTTTCTGCAGCTAGATGATTCTGGGATATACGTTTTAAACCTTCCTTGATCTGTTTATCTGAGCCAAAAATGCATTAACAATTAAAAAAAAAAGACTCTGGTGTGTCAAAGGAAGGAAGGTGACTGTAGACGGTGTGATGATTTTAATGACTGCAATTATTGGAAGATTATTCAACAAGCATCATAGATTTGTTTACTGCATTACTAAGAAACGATGGGGGGCATGTTTAGCTTGGGGTTTTTACCTTTATCCCTCCCTCTTCAACTATTCCAGCGAGGTTTCAGACCTAAGCAAATGTGGCATTCAGTGTTCGGTTTCTCCGTTGGGATACCATGTATATCAAAATAAAACATTTGCTGTTTCTCGGTCAACTCTGATGAAACAATCTTTGAAGGCTATCTTTGCACAAGGATCCCGAGCTAATGGTTTAAAAAAAAAAAAAGGCCAAAGACTAGAGACTGGTCTTTTGTCAGCTTCTCTCAGCCCGACTACTAACTTCTGTTTTACTCTTTCACTTGCAGTCTTAGAGACTTCCAATTCTTTCACTCCATCCAAGACCTGAAGGAGGCACTCTAGCTGCAAAACTTGAAAGGAGCTTAGGCATAGGTCCAGAATTCTCTATTGGAAAATGTTTGGGTTTTCCATCTCTTGTTTTCCTCCCCCTTTCTTTCTTC